GCCCTTAGGAGTTTATCGACCCCTAGGCTGCATTCGCCACCCTCAGAGACCATCCCATCCTGTGGTTTGCGACACTCTCCTCCTGTGACATATGGTTGTCTTGTTGTTGCTTTATTGCTCTGAGACTGAGGCTACTGCCTCTAACATTTTTAGGATTTAGTTGTTTCTGCTTTCGCTGTTCTTAGGACTTATACACGAGTCAGTTGTTTCCAGACTGAGGCTACTGCCTCCAACATTCCAGGATTTAGTTGTCATTACTTTTTGCTTTTCTAGGATATATATACTAGTTAGTTGCTTATGCTTTCACTTAGGCTGTTAGTTGTGACAATGTTATTTTTGTGACATTTTCTATCTTAGGTTGCCTCGCATGGACTCAGCATGGAGCTTGCTCCGCATCCTAGACTACTCGAGTTTTCTTTTTCTTTGGTATAGTTCCGGTTCTTGGCGGAAACGTGCTTGTATTTAGGCGATCTATCACAGTCCGAGGATCTTGCAGCGGACCACTGGTTGGCTTGTGAGACCAGCCCCTTGGCCTATTCTCACAGACCTGTGTTGTATTCAGGGTAGTCTTGTTAGTCCGCTGGGGTATACCCCAGCCAGAGTCTGTACTTTGGGTCATTCTACATTCGCACAGTTTGGAATACGTGCGTTGGAGTCCGCGTGGGAGCTGCGTTGTGCCGTCTTGCTCCACCCTCATCCTCCATCCCCATGTCTATCCCAGGCGGAGCACCTCACCCGGTTGGTCCGCCACAGTGTGCGTGTGAGGTAGCAGAAAAATTTGACCAGGAGTACACTAGACTACAGCTTTCATCACACCAAGGATAACCTCGTAGCTTCGAAATCTACAGATCCATCTCCGATGCCGCCATCGTTGCTTCGGCACTCGAGAGTCAGCGACACTCGAAATGACATGACTTGGAGCACAACGACTATCATGTGACGAACTATTTCCCGAACCCGTGCTATCTTTCGTACCCCTTTGGTTTGAATCTTTCTTGAATCATACCGACCCTACAAGCACCCCGTTTGTTTTCTTGATTTCGGGCGCCGCGTTTTGGGCCCCCATCTTCCGGAAGCTTGTTGTGATTCTTCGGTTCTGCTTTTTCTTTTGCAATTCGGGAAATACATAGGAATTTACGTGCGCCTTAGCGAGCGCACTGGGAATTGGGCCCGACAGTTGGGGATTCCGGGATAAGCGAAACTTCGACGTGTCCTTTTTGTGTGTGAATGTTCTCGGTCGCGTTGGGGAAAACTCTCGGAATTTTGTGAGGATACGAATAGGCGTAGGACTTTCTTTTCCCGCATCGTCCTTTTCGCGCGCGGATATGGTGATTTCAATTTTAAATTGGTTTAGGACATAGACAAGCTATAACTGTTTCGGTGCCTTTTTCTTTTTCTTTTTGTTGACAACGCCACATATACGAAGCTTTCTTCCCCCCCCCCCCACTCTATTGCCCGCATCGTTCTCTCCAGCGCTCTTTCCTCCTTCCCCCCCCTTCTCATCCTCCCTTTTCGCAACTGTTTTCCCTCTCTCTCTCCCGCTCTGATCGATTGCGCGCCCATTTCCCGTCTTGCGCTACTTCTCGCGCCCTTTTTCCTTTCGCCATGAATCGAAAGCCCGGTCGATCCTTCGATTACTCTCGCCCACCAATCAGACGCGTGGTACGATAGGATATGCCTAGTGCACGACGAATCTGATTGGCGAAGCTCAGAGCCTCGAAGGATCAACATGGCTTCTGCAGTGCGCTCCCCACCAAGTCTTCTCCTCCTGCTTTTTTTCTTACACTTCGATTTTCCCCGTGCCTTCTCTCTCCCTTGCCCCCCTTCTCGCCACTATAAATTTTACAAACGCGCCCGCAAATCTCTCTTACGTTCTCGACTCCCAAGCCAGCTTTCGGGAAGCAATGGCTAGGTAGAGTGTTTGGTGCGAGTCGGAAAGTCCTGTCGGGCTGACGATAGGCTGGCCGGTTGCGCGCTTGATCCCCACGACGGACTGTGGGATCTGGGCGAACCGCGTTGAGTTTACGTCGGCGGGGTGACGATCGCAGTGGTGGGAGTTAGCACGCGACGGCCGGGATCGTCAGTGCGGGCATGAGGATCGATGATTGGAGTTGAGTAGATGGTTGGCCTGGGGCCATATTGGAATTCACGGAGAATGCGCCTTTGTTGTTGCGGATCGTTATCTCTGGCGTAAGTGTACGGCGGCAGTGCCAAACTTTCTCTTTTCGGATCTTGTTATCTCCTATCTCGACCTTCCTCCCTCGTCTCTCTCTCTCTCCTCTATCTTTGAATGACGATGTGAC